AAATAATGTTGTGTTCTGTATACAGAAGGTTGTAACATCCCGTAACAAAAGAATAATGGATTTGGCTTCCCAGAGGTCTGAATTTTTATGACTTTGTTATAATAACGTGGTTACAGATTCAGCTAGGGTTTAAATCTAGGTTTCCAGGGGATTCCTGAAGGGCAAACTGGAGGTTGGTGAGGAAAAGAATGAGAGACAAATGATGGTGTTACAGGATCAAAACAAAGAAAAAACAGTTTCCTGAAGGAATATGGAGGCAGTCACAACAGTGACTAGAGCTGATAGGCTCAGGATCCAGTCTTAATGCCTTATTTATGTTTTTGGGAATGCAGTTCTCATGATTCTTCTTTGCAACTTTACATCTACAGACATAAAGGGATTTAAGTAGGGCTGGGTTTTTTTTAAGCTTCAAAGGAGGATTCACCAAATTGAAAAGACTAAAGTCTGGCTGTCTAAGAATATGTCTACAGATATCACTGCTTTTACAGGCTCACTTCAGCTAGCTTTAAACTAGTTAATCCTGGTTGTGGTAATGCAGTTGTGATAAAGTTGATTGTGGGCAGGATCATGCTGAAGTATTTACCCAGGTGTCAGTCAGGCTTTGCAGCCTCAGTTGAGCTTGGTGTCACTTGACTGCATTGGTAGTGGTACATAGTTCAGTTTAGATCTGTTATGGGTTGATCTATTTAAACAAGATTGTAATGTAAATACAGTGAATGAACTCTTTGCACTTTAACTACTAGGATGCATTTCTGCATTTCTCCCTCTTAGTTGTTGTACGTTTTTCTGTAACGTTACACTCTTAAACCAGCTGTGCTTTGGCAACATTTAAGGAAATGTTCAGGTGAGTTGAAAACAATTACTCAAACTAATTCACATCATAATTTATTCAGGAGCTTCTCTTCCTTTTTATACCACCTTGAAAAACTATAAGAATGGGATCAATCTTTTCACTGCAATCTACTTTTCCAATAACATCTTTTATGTGCAGACTTTTCATTATTTCCCTGTTATTTGCATGAAATTATATATTAAAATGGCTTCAGCATGGTCCCTTAGCACTATTTCCAATATCTTTCTCTCAGCTGAAACGAGACTTAGAGGGTTTGTCCCCTGAATCTTCCCTTGTTTCTTCCTTGTATCTGGGAATAACTTTAGTACCCCTTTAATCCTTGGGTACAATTGTGCTCCTCTGTGGCCTGTCAAAAACCTTTGCTGAAGGCTTTCCAATTTCCTTTGCTACTTACTTCAGGATTCTGGGATAAAATTCATCTGAGCCTGGTGCTTTGTCAAATGTAACAGTCCTAATTGCCTTATTATCTTCTCCAGTGCAATAGCAAAGGCTTTTAACATTTTACTTTCCCCTCCAGGAGAATGTCTCTCAGTCCCGGAGATGCTTCCTTCCACTTTCTTTTCCTCTTTTTCTCCCCCTGTGAATAATGAGGTGAGGAATTCATTTAGTCCTGAGGCAGAATCAACCTCATCTGTCACTAACTTTCCACTTATGTTCTTCAATGCATCTACTGTCTTACTGCTTTTTTTGTTTTGTTTTGTTTTGTTTCTGGATATATATTTAGAATCACAGGATCACAGATGTAAGGAAAAGAAAATAGCTATTAGGTCATCCAGTTCACTGTCCTGCAACTGCTGGGTTGTTCAGTGCAATATATTTCTTTCATCTGTCTTCAAACTGCTTTTTAACATCCCAAATGTTTCTTTCGGAGTCACTTTAAAGTGTCTTATAAGCAGGAAGTGTTCCCTGACGGTTAGCTCAGTTTTCTCTTTCTTAATGTGAAGAATGTAGTCTAAATTAAAAGTCTGGTATCACTTCCATTATTTTCCTCTGTTCATCCTTTGATTCGTGTTCTTCATGCTTTTCAAATAGCTATAGATAACCCCATCCTCTATCAGCAAGGTATCTTCCCCTAGGTTTTTATCCAGGGTCTAAATTTCTCATAGACTGATAATGATATAAAACTGATAGCAATTTAAAAGTTCTTAGAATAAGTGGATGTTGTTTCTTGGGTGGTATGCCATTTCCATCCTGCAAGAAGAGACCATAAGTGCAATATCCTGTACTATTTTTGCTCTTCACTTTCCTATGATTGATGAGGATCCCAAAGAACATGGTCTGTTACAGCAATCCTGAGCCAAGCAACATGCTTTGTACTCATTCCATTCCTTCCTCCAAAGCCCCGAACTCTGAAGTTATGTGCCGTTTTGCATAGATTTTGTATTTGTCCATATCATTTCTCCTGGCATCCAGGCAATGGATAGATACTCAGAGCAATGTAAAGTAGAATTCACCCATGACCCATAAGGAAATTGCTTCTTTTCTGCAAAGGGCTGAACATAAACTGTCTATTCTAGATAATCACAACTAGACTTGTACATGTATTATGACACCTTATTTGAGAATTGGCTGGCTGGCTCAGGCTTCCCAGTATTTAAGGCTTACAGAGACATGATTCTTCTTTATCACAGGTGTTAGAGAGCAATAAATGTAGCATCTGAAATAAACAGTTGTACTTTCCTACTTACACATTGGCTCTTCACTGACTTCATGGTGGACCACTACTGAATAAAGGACCATCTGAATCTCCCTGTTGAACTTGTATACCACAAGTTGTCAATAAATCTATTTTAAGAATTAGACTGTACCTCCCAAATCCCTTCTGTCTGTCTTCATCTGGTTGAGAATTGAGTATTAAAAAGAACACAGTATTCTAGGTTCCCAGTTAGCAGAGCCATACTGGCAGCTTGTTGTAGGTCATGAGTTTTTAGTAGTTATAGATAATTTATCTTCACTTTCTTTGCCATTTTGTATCATTTATTATTCCACTGAACATCATTCTTTTTTACATTTCATAACTTCTTCAGGCTTTTCCCCATTTATCTTTTGTTATTTGATATTTTCAGGTGTTCAGCATGGTTCAGCAAGGTTTAATCTTCCTCATCAAGCTGTGAACCTCTTCCTTCTTCTTTCCAGACAGCCTAATATGGTTTGACATTTTCCCACATTTCCAAAAGTCTATAACTGCTTCTATATGTAGCCAGTGTGATTGGGAATGACTGCATATGATTATTAGATATAATATTGTGATTGCACTGCTGCTGGGAATTGCTTTGAAAGAATGGGAACCTGAAAGTATGTGTACTCTGCTCACAAATATTTTATCCTTAAAAACAAGGCCATATCAACAGACAAATAAGATTACCATGAAAAAATCAGAATCATAAAATCATTTGAATTGGAAGGGACATTTAGGGGTCATCTGGTCCAACTCCTCTGCAATGAAAAGGGACATCTACAGCTTGATCAGGTGCTCAGAGCTCTGTTCAGTGTAACTCACCTTGAGTGTCTCCAGAAATAAGGCATCCACCATCTCTCTGGGCAGCATGTGCCAATGTTTCACTACCATTATTGTGAAAACCTTTTTCCTTACATCCAGTCTAAATCAATCCTTATTTAGTTTGAAACATTTTCCCTTTGCCCTGTTACCACAAACTCTGCCAAAGAGTTTGTCCTCTTTGTTACATCCCCATTATATCTACTGAAAGGCAGCTCTCAGGTGTCCTCCAAAACTGGGCTTATCTGGGCTTAACAGCCCCAGCTCTCTCAGCCTGTCCTCGTAGAGATGTTTTATCCCTTGGACTGTATTTTGGCCCTCTTCTGGATGCGCTCCCACAGGTCCGCATTTCTCATGTACTGAGGACTTCACATCTGAATGCAGTTCAGATGCATTCCTCAACCTGCTGACCATGCTTCTTTTGATGCAGCCCAGGATACGGTTGGCTTTCTGGGCTGCACTGGCATATTGCTGGCCCAGCTGCCATCCATCCATACCCTGAAGTCATTTTTTGACAGGACTGTGCTCAATTCTTCCATCCCACAGCTTGCCAAGTGCTGGTCCCACTGGGCCTTAGCCTTCCTGAGACCATCCCTGCACAGCCTTGCAGCATCCCTGTACTCCTCCAAGGATACTAGCCCCTGCTCCACTGCCTGTGCATTTTCTTACTGCTCTCCAATCTGACAAGCAAGTTCTGGTTCAGCCGTTATAGAGTCTTGCTTTCTTTTCCTGACTGTCTACACTTGGGGATGGAGAGCTCTCATGCCCTAAGGAAAGATTCCTTAAAGATCTGCCAGCTCTGCTCTGCTCCCTGGAGGGCAATTTCCTGGGGGTTCTGTTGACAATCTCCCCGAGGAGCTGCAATTTGGCTTTAAAAAAAATTAGCATCCTGATTTCACTCTTTTTCTGTTTTATAAGGAAATGCATTATATGCATCCTTACAGTATTTGCATTGCCTCTTTGACAAAAACTGTATCACCTGCGTCTTGTGTTCTGATTTGTACCACTATACCCTCTTCATGTGGTAGCAGAGAAATTTAGTCAAAGTATATTCCAGCACTTAGCATTCTTGTAATTAACAAAATTATTTGCATATTTCCTATAATGATACCTTGTAAAAAGATTTTTTTTTTTTCTGATAAAAGAGGAATAGCTTTCTGTTAAAAGAGAATAGCCTTTGATAAAAGAGGAATAGCCTTCTGTTCTGTAACTGATGCAAATATTGTAGGGGTATAGCTCAGAAGATATCTCTGTAAGCATTTGCTTTGAACTGCTGCGTATTGTTAGGTAAGGATTATAAAAACAAACAAGTACAGGCTGTTTTTGTGAAGTAGTAGTGTAATTTTTTGATTCTGTCTATGGCAGAGGAGTGGACCAGTGGGGAGTGCACCAGTGCATTTGTCCTCAAACAGTAGCACAGCAGAAATTCAGAGGATCAGGTCCTGTGTTGCAGTCGCCTACAACAGTCCTGTTGATAGCAAATTGGAAACTGCAGGTCAATGTGTTGAGCATGATTGCTCTCAGTGACCTCTGAGTCCTGTGTGTATTTGGAAGAGGATTTGTCTAATTAAAAAAAAAAAAAAAAAGGATACAACTATTTGGATGACAGACTCTTAAAGCACTGAGAACAAGAAGAGGTGACTTCAGTAGAGAAGGTGATCAAATGGCATGAAGACAATGTATGAAAATGTCACAGATACTACACTTAATCTTAGCCAAAAGGCCGAGAAGAGATATGTCATTCTGCATCTGTTTTACTGAACTCAGTAACTTTGTGTTGCATGAGTTCTGTATTAAAAAAAAAAAAAAGTTAGGACTTATTTATGGACCTTACTATCTGTTTTATCTGTCTTTGGATATCATTAATGAATTGGAATATTTTTTTTTTTTTACTCAATTTGTTGAATAAATCTTTGCTGATTCTCAGTACTGGCGTACTATGATCAAATTACCCAATTTCCTTTTTCACAAGGAAATAAGTTGTTTTGATCTTCCGATTAAAGAAATAGAGGGAATATTATCTAAACTTACTCTTTTCTAAAATCTTCCTGTAAGGACATTCCATTTCTTCTTTCAAAGTTTAAGTTAGGCCTCAACAATGACTCTAGTGGTTGTACACCTATTAGGAAAAAAGATTTTTTTTTTCTGCATAAAAAGAATTTCTTATTAAATTAAATTCTTTCAGGAAAAGATGCTTTTAAGAATAGCTTATCTGTCTTGAAGCAGGGGCTGTCTTGGTACTGGCTGTCAAATTCTTTTGCTGCTCAAAAGTCAAGCTGAGCTGGGGTAGATTTTTGCCATACTTGGGTGATGTGGAGATGTTGCTGTGCAGATAGGAATTTCAGTTACTTTCTGCCAATAGAAAAGCTTAGTGAAACTGAATTAACCTGCTTTTGACCAGAATGAGAAACAACTTGCAAAACCTGCCAAAGTCAGCTCCCTCTTGTAATATGTGAGACTTAGGCATGTGGCATGTGAGAGCATTGATAAGAACATCCAAGTGTAGACACTTGGTGCTCAGATCAGAAGAAAATTATTCTCTATGAAAGCCAGCTGTGTGAATGTGAGGGCAAAATCAGGGTGCCTGATGGATGGGGTGCGCAATAGAATAATGTGACACGCTGTTTGTCTGGAGGTCAAGCAGGAGGACATAGCGCGAAAAGTTTCCCAGCCATTAGAAACCTTTTGTTCAACTGAGCACAGAGCCCCTTATTGAGCACAACATCAGAAGAAGCTACCCAAGAGGAAAGGTACTTGACAAAGAAAAGTGATGAGACGAAAGCAAGCTACTCTTTTAGAAATTTAATCTCCTTTTTATTTGTGGTTTCCGTTAAGAATGTAGATAAGCACACACAGCTGCAGGTCAAAAAAAAAAAAAAGACTCAAAGCTAGACATGCTTACTCTGTAATGTGCCAGACTATTTACCAAAGAAGCTGCCAGAGCTGTGAGTAAATACATCCACTTTGCTCATACTAGTCAATTTAGGATCAAACCCATTTAACATCCTCTGCAGGGACTCAATGCACCTGCACAACATTTGGTTTTATCAAAACAGTTTTCCTATTTAAGCTAAAGGAGGTGGGGAAACGCTGAAGCCTTATGTTCAGACCCATTGCTTTTTATTATGGATATGCTGTCAATTAGCTTTGCCCTCATCAGCATCAAAATTAACTGTGTAGTGCTAAAATGATGGAGTTGCAAAAATAATTAGCATTTACCTGCTATTTTAGTGTAAGTGAAGCCAAAGACAGAAATGATCACAAATCTTTCAGTATAACTTGGCAAACCCACACTTGTTTTCAGAAAGCACTTCTTCTATCAAGACCAAAAAAAAAAAAAAGAAATGAACACGAATGTAGCTATTTAACTGCAGAGCCCAGACTGAGAAGCCAAAGCAATTCAAATTTAATCATGGAGAACTCTTATGCCAAGTTCAAATCCCTTCCTCCCTCTACACTTGGCAACTTCTATTCTAAATTTCTTTAAAATAAGTGTTTTTTCACCACAGAATCTTGCCACAATGGCAGCTGTTTAGCAAATAAACTAAAAAATAAAAATGTTGTCATTGTGAAATAGGATATATTTAATTAAATAAAATAGAGTAGGGAAGTGTTATTACAAGAACATAAAACTGTAAGGCACAAGATAAAACTAAATTACTACAGGGCTGCTCAATTCAATCTAATCCTTGAAGATAAAGATGGAGCCAGAAAATTGCATGTATTGTGAAATCAACATAAGCCCTAAGCAAATATTAACTAGGGATATATAAACTGATTTATAATAAATACAAGTGTGAATGCTAGGATTAGTTAAGGAAATGCAAACTGAGACAAATTAAGGTGTAAAACACACCAGTATTTCTCTAAAATACTGGGAACTGTACACAGAAAAAAAGTATGCAGTGCCCTGGATAAATTTTACCTGATGTAACACATTATGGAAGAGAAAATACTGAATATGAGGAAAATGTTGCCTTTCCCCTCTGAGCTTAGTTTGTATAGAGAAATAATTAATTAATTTGGTAGGGCTTGACTTGAAGTTAGTTCTTGCCTGTCAAATGATGGGATTTGAGGGTGGTGGTTGTTTTCTTTTGTTTTTTTCCTCCTCAAACTGTTACTTATTATATTTCTACTCTCAAAATATTGGAAGTGCACAATGCACATTCAGCATAGCATATGAGATACTGGTACTAAAGGACTCAAATATCTGTACAGTATGAATGAAAGATGAATTAAAGAAGTTTTACTAAGTGTTCTTGTATCATAGAATCATAGAATCACCAAGGTTGGAAAAGACCTAAAAGATCACCCAGTCCAACCGTTCACCTATTCCCAATAGCTCTCACTAAACCATGTCCCTCAACACAACATCCAGCCTTTCCTTGATCACCCCCAGGCTCGGTGACTCCACCACCTCCCTGGGCAGTCCGTTCCAGTGCCTGACCACCCTTTCTGAAAAGTAATACTTCTCATGTCCAGCCTGAATCTCCCCTGCCGTAGCTTGAAGCCATTCCCCCTGGTCCTATCACTAATGACACGAGAGAAGAGGCCGACCCCCAGCTCACTACAACCTCCCTTCAGGAAGTTATAGAGAGCAATGAGGTCTCCCCTGAGCCTCCTCTTCTGCAGGCTGAACATTCCCAGCTCCTTCAGCCTCTCCTCATATGGCCTGTGTTCCAGACCCCTCACCAGCTTTGTTGCCCTCCTTTGAACATGTTCCAGGGCCTCAATGTCTTTTTTGCAGTGAGGGGCCCAAAACTGGACACAGTACTCGAGGTGCGGCCTCACCAGTGCTGAATACAGGGGAACAATCACCTCTCTGCTCCTGCTTGCAACACTGTTTCTGATGCAAGCCAGGATGCCATTGGCCTTCTTGGCCACCTGGGCACACTGTCGGCTCATATTCAGCCGAGCATCAATCAATACCCCCAGGTCCATTTCCTCTACGCAGTCCTCCAGCCACACCGCCCCAAGCCTGTAGCGTCACCTGGGGTTGTTGTGGCCGAAGTGCAGGACCCGGCATTTGGCCTTGTTGAAACTCATCCTATTGGCTTCAGCCCAGCTCTCCAGCCTGTCCAGATCCCTCTGTAGGGCCTCGCTACCCCCAGGCAGATCCACACTTCCAGCCAATTTGGTGTCGTCTGCGAATTTACTGAGGGTGCACTCGATGCCCTCATCGAAGTCATCAATAAAGATATTGAAGAGGACAGGCCCCAGCACCGACCCCTGGGGAACACCACTCACAACTGGTCGCCAGCTGGATTTGACTCCATTTACCACCACTCTCTGTGCCCGGCCCTCCAACCAGCTCCTTACCCAGCCAAGAGTGTATCCATCCAAGCCTCTGGCTGCCAGCTTCTGCAGGAGAATGCTGTGGGAGACAGTGTCAAAGGCTTTGCTGAAGTCTAGGTAGACCACATCAACAGCCTTTCCCTCATCCACCAGATGGGTCACTAGATCATAGAAGGAGATCAGGTTGGTCAAACAGGACCTGCCCTTCATGAACCCATGCTGGCTATCTTTCCTAAGAAGACCCATGCTGGCTATCTTTCCTAAGAAGGTTGCAGACTATGTATGAAAAGTCAAGAGAAAGATCATGTGTTCCCATGATAATAAAGATTGCATGCAGAAAACACTCATGTGTGTTTTTCTTACCTTATTTTATATGTTTTACTTTTTGAGGATGTGAAGTTGATGTGACACCTGTTAAGTCTGACTCTTCTAAGCCACTAAATGCTGTTAGTGGACTTTGTAGTGCATGTTTCATCATACTGACCTACAAGGCAGGTTGAAGCCTTTTAGAGCATAATGTATCTACATAGAGAATTTTATGGTGGTTGTTTTTTTTTGTTTTTTTTTTTTTTTCTTTCAATGGATCTTTTCTGCCCTTATTCATTTTTATGATACCATTTTTCTCTCTGGGGAACTGTAACAATGATAAATTGGAGTCTTTAAAGGCATATCTTGTTATCGTATTTTATACTACAGAAGAATAATCCAAACTATTCTGTAATACTACTGTTTAGTTTGTAAAGTCAAACATTTGGAAGAAATTGCCACAGTCCATATACTGAGAAATGAGCAGAGATAAAATGGGTATAATTTGGACACCATCCATTCTTTGCTTAGCACATCCTGAGTATAATCCTTAGGTACTTCAAAAAGTTCTTACTACAGCAGAAGACTAGATGTTTGTCTATAACTTTTCTTCTAGAGACTTTGATTAACTCCACCCAGCAAACTGATAATGTTTTACAAGTTCCGAAAGTTACTCATGTTGACACATTTTTATTTCCACACTTCATTCCATCTATTTGTCTTCAGACACCTTGTGCTTTCTAGATTTCCTACAAGATCCCAAGTCTTTTCCCCAGTAACTTCAAAGCATGAATTTTTAAGTTAAAATTTCCCTGGAAGACATCACTTTTCTATTATTATGCTCATTATAATGAAACTAAAGAAAAATAATCTGCTAACAACAGTTAGAACTAATAGGTCATTTTAAATTTAAGTTAAGTTTTAAACAAAACAAAACCAACAGGAGATCAACAACTACCTTGGAAACTTCACAATCAGTGGAGAAAATGATAGTTTTTATTATTACACTTATGTAGGAGGTAATGATGTCTACAACTTTGATGTTATATGAGGATTACCTGGGTTGTTTTGTCCCAGTTACTGAGAGCCAAGTTGAAGGACTTCAGTGATAGATTAAGTCTGCCAACTTTGATG